TGGGAAGTTTGGGTTTTGTTACCTCTTTCTTGATTGTTGATTTGGGTTCGTTATTGTTGCTGACTATCTAAGTCTTTGCATTGTCCTCAAGTAAGGTATGGTTTGTCTTTAATAGTCTAATTAATTAGCTAATTGTAGATATTTAATGGATCATTCATCATTCATATCTAGTTTTGTTTGCTTTAAATTGCATGCCAGTATGTATTAATGGTGTTAGAGAGCAGATTGTGCTTTTTCTTGTTTCCTTTCTTTGGTACCCAGTGTAGAACTCAAGCAATGAAGTCTGTGTCCTTTTCCTTGTTTCTCATGGGTGATCAAATATTACATCAGTGCACCCTGAAGTTATTTGCCCTAACATTGTAGAGGATAACTGTTAAATTCGTTTGTAAAATGGCTTATGTCAAATAATTTCATTAATTTTTCCATGAATTTCACCTTTTATGCATGAAGGGGTCAGTTCGAAGTATGTAAGCTCTGATGTGAATGATACAAGTGGTACAAGTAGCAAAGGCTCATCAGTTCGAATACCTTCAACTCCTCGAAGTGAGGATGAGATCATACACTCTGCCAATTTGAAGAATTTTAGTTTTGCTGAGCTGAAAATGGCCACAAGGAGTTTCCGTCCAGATAGCATGCTAGGAGAAGGTGGCTTTGGTTCTGTTTTTAAAGGCTGGATTGATGAGCATTCACTCACTGCTTCCAAACCCGGTAATGGCATGGTCATTGCTGTGAAAAGACTGAACCCAGAAAGTTTTCAAGGTCATCAGGAATGGTTGGTAAGTAACCATAAGTTCATATCGCCACATATTTGTTTGTTTCAGTGGAGAATACAATTTGTTATGACATTTGCTCATTGCATTTGGTATATGAAAAATATATTACATATTTTTAAATTCATGATTTTAGTTGGACTTCAGCTCATGGTGGATACACCATGGGCTTTTAAGACTGGCAATATTATCAGGATTGAACTTGATTATTCAGATGCCTATCATGGAAGCATATTGATGTGTATTTTCAATCATTTTGACCTTTGTCAACTATATATGAAAAGCTTAAATTGAATTTGCTGATCTAATGTGTTCAAGTTCACTTGTCTCTTATTTGTGATGCTATAGGCAGAAGTGAAACATCTGGGGCAGCTTCATCATCCTCATCTTGTGAAATTAATTGGGTTTTGCTTGGAGGATGAACATCGGCTTTTGGTGTATGAATACATGCCTAGAGGGAGCTTGGAGAATCATTTATTCAGGAGTGAGTTCTTCCAGCCTGTCTCTTGGCACAATTGAACCATATTATTATATTATTATATTATAAAACACTTAAATTGCTGCATTATCAGGAGGTTCTTACTTCCAACCTCTTTCTTGGAGCCTTCGCCTGAAGGTTGCTCTTGGTGCTGCAAAGGGGCTTGCCTTTCTACATGGTGCTGAAACAAAAGTGATATATCGGGACCTCAAGGCTTCCAATGTTCTGCTTGATTCTGTATGTGACAAGTCCAGTTGATCTTTTGCTTTCCATGAGATTGTTTTTCTCAGTCTTTTATCTTTTATTAGCTATTATAAGAACTCCTCTTTTAATTCAATCACAGAACTACAATGCAAAACTTTCTGATTTTGGATTGGCCAAGGATGGGCCAACAGGTGACAAAAGTCATGTCTCTACCAGAGTTATGGGGACCTATGGATATGCTGCTCCAGAGTATCTAGCCACAGGTAATTAATAAGCATTCTTTTCAACTGCTTAATTGAGTTAGGTTTACTGCCTGCCTTTTAACTGCTTTCATAGACTCTCAAACTAATGTTCTTCTTAGTTGTATTTGCTCTTGATATTCTTGATTCCTTTATATTAGAGTTGATTTAACTCTCATGTCTGATAATTTTTTTTCACTTTTTCCTGACCAATAGGGCATTTGACAGCCAAGAGTGATGTCTATAGTTTTGGAGTTGTGCTGCTAGAAATGTTATCTGGCCGCAGGGCAATTGACAAGAATCGGCCATCTGGAGAACACAATCTGGTGGAATGGGCCAGGCCTTACCTTGCCAACAAACGTAAAATATTTCGTGTCCTAGACAATCGCCTTGAAAGCCAGTACACAATGGAGGTAGCCTTTAAGGCAGCTACCCTCGCAATGCGATGTCTGTCCTCAGATGCTAAGTTCAGGCCAAGCATGGATGAGGTTGTAGCGGAATTGGAGCAACTACAGGATTCTAATGCTCCAGAAAGCACTCAGAGCAATGCAAGAGAGAAACACAGGAGTCGTAGACACAGTACAGGTGATACTAGCACTAGACCGACTACTGCTGCATATCCTCGGCCCTCTGCTTCCGCACTGTATGCTTGAGAACAGAAATAGAAGACTTGACAAAAGCTGCTTTTTTTTGCTTCCCCAGTATATTGATGTGGTTTTGCAACAATCTCTGTTACTCAGGCACTCAATTTTCCAAGCCCTGCTCCTGTACAGTCCTTGTTTCAGCTAATGTATTCAAAATCAAACCCTTCTTCTCTTGACAGAATCTCAAGTTCAGCCTGTAACAATTGGAAGGCAGAAGAAAATGCTGTATTTCTATTGTGATGGGACCAAAATGCAGCAAACACTCTAAACCAACTTGGAGAATAGTACTATTAATCTAAGTGCTTCTGTGTTCAACGGTTGCATCTTCCCTGTTGCTTGCTGTTATACAAAATTGTTTCATTTTTAGATTAGCTGTCAGTTTTCCTCAACGTGTACTGATTGTTGTTAGGGGTGTGCACAGTTAGGTTTCAGATATAATCAAAACTGAATTATGGGTTAATTAAAATTTTGAGTTATAAATTTTAATAATTATTAACTAAATTTAAAAAAAAAAAGAAGGTTTTATTGGTTTTTGTTGTATTTTAAGTCACTATTTAGATTGATTTGGATTTTAACTAAAAAATTATTTATATATTTTTTAAGTTATTCTTTAATTCTTTAATTCTTATTTATTAATTTATACCATTAAAAAAATTTAAAATTACCTAAATAAATAAATAATTTAATGAAAAGTGGCTAAAAAACCTTTAAAAATTTAGAAATCATTAAAAAATTTTATATAAAAAGTTTTTAAATCAGATTTTTGGATTATACTTATTTTAGTCATTGACTTTTTAATTTTTAAAATTAGCAATCAAAACTCAAATTATTTAAATTAATTCAGTTTAATTTCTAATCAGACAAATATATAAAACTCAATTAAACTTTACCCATCAATTCTGATTTTGTCAATTTTTAAATTTTTTCCCGGTTGCGAATTTTTTTCCCATTCCTAATTGTTGTAATGTTACAGTTGTGCTCTTTAGGAAAACAAAAAGGAAAGGGCAAAAAAAAAAAAAAAAAAGGGGGACCAAAAATTAAAAGAAAGAAAAGAAGAGGAAAAACTAGTGGATCTGGTTGTGAAGAGTGGTTTTCCCATTGGAAAGGGGCTTTAAAGCATCTCCCTTGAATTTAAGACCTTTTTGAGGTATCTAATGGTACTCCATTTCAGTCTTATCAGATAGGTCGGGTGGCACTAATGTCTACTTTATCCTATAATAATCAACCTTTTTGGACCTATCATACTATTAGAGGAAGATGCCCCAGAAAAGTTACAATTTTTTGTGGGCTCCCAACCTTTTTCGTCCTGCCTCTCTGTACTGCAAAACGAAGAGAGAGAACCATACAGGGTATGATGCCCCTCTGGTTGAGACAATAAGAGGAGGAGCACTTGCCGGCCACCCTTGGAGAAATCCAGTCATGAAATGAAGTAATAATTAGAATTTTGAAAAGCTAATAGGTGGATTTGATATTTTAGCATATATGCAATTTTGTTTTGTTGTAAACTTGATATAGACTCAATTAATATGAGCAAGTTTAGTTGAGAATGATAGTGAGGATTTGGTAAATAAGCCCCTACCAATTCTAAGACATCAATTATTGGTTACAGCATGTGGCCTCTCTTGTATATACTACTCAGCAATCAATCATGGTGAGTAATTTTAAATATCTGTAAATTCAATGAGCTTGGAATTTGGAGATCTGAAACTACCAGCTAGCCTGACACTGCAGCCATTAAAGTCACCTCATGTGCATCAATAGACATTGGGGCAAAAAGTACACATCATAGAGGATTAAAAAAAAAAAAAAAAAAAGAAGGAAAAAAACATGATATTCTGCCTCACAATGCCTATTTGACCACAGTTTCCCTTTGAACTCTATATACAACTACCTTCCAAAACAAAAATGAATTGGAGAAACACCCTCCAATTGGACTATATCTGTGTCTGGTCCTTGAGGAATGAAATGCATTCATCTGCCGTTGTCAAAGGCATATGAATTTATTTCATTAACAGAGGCTGAAAGGGTTACCATGTCCTTACTAATCCAGGAGTCCAATTTCTCCAATCTAACTTGCCAAGAGATTTATTTCTTAAGCTAACCATTTCTTTGATATCAAAAACCCTTTTTCGGTTACTGTTACCTTGTTGTTTTCTAGACTCTGACTCAGTCTCCACTTCACTTTCTTCTTTTACATCTTCAGCTTCACTGACAGGTTGAGAATCACCTTCATTTTGGGATGAACTCTCACTGATGATGTTTCCTAGAATCTCAACCACCTCACTCATTTTAGGGCGAGACTTTGGATTTTTCATTAGGCATTTGTTTGCCAAGGATGCCAGTTTCTGAGCTGATTTGATGGAATATTGTCCTTCAAGTCGAGGGTCTACAATAAGATGAAATTTCTTTGCATCTGATGCGTAAGGTCTTGCCCATTCCAAGAGCTTCTGCTCACTGCGAGGTAGGTTTCTCTCCACTGCCCGCCTTCCTGTGAGAAGCTCATAGAGAACCACCCCAAAGCTCCAAACATCACTCTTAGCAGTTAGCCTGCCAGTGTGTACATATTCTGGAGCTGCATAACCTACTGTACCTACAACCTTTATAAACAATTTGGGGAGAAAGAATGCAAAAAGAAAGGGCTTCAGTTCAATATTAGTAATGAAGGTGATCATTACTTTTGCACATTACATGTCCAAAGTCTCAACAGTAAACACCTAAAATAGTAACCATGCATGCAAATACTTCACACATAGCTTGCACAAAGATAATCAATCAACTTACTGTTGTGGAAACATGGCCATGTCCTTCAGGTGGTCCTTGCCTAGCTAGTCCAAAGTCTGAAAGTTTTGCATTGAAATCCTCATCCAGAAGAATATTTGATGTTTTAAAATCTCGAAATATTAGCTGCAAGGATTATAAGCAACATTAAAATCATGCAGACAGCAAACACAAAACTTCACAAGTCATCCTAATTAACATGAGCAAGAACAAAAATATAGAGATGGCAGGACTGCAGTCTATACTACAAAAGTTTGACGATATTACAGATAGGTATTTTTGATGGGTAGATTGAAATTTTTAATAATTAAAGTTCATAGCCTTTTTCTTTACCAGAGTAAAAGTTCATATTCAAATTTACATGGATAAGTTGTCCATAAATGATTTACTGATTTCTTAGGCCAGTCAGCCAGCTACAAGCAAGACAATGAAAATTTGCAGGAAGCAAAGCAGTATAGCATCTTTGTGTTACACCATTCTCTCAAAACTTCACAAGCAATTTCTACTCTTAACTCTATCAAGATATCATGTGCATATGATTGAGCAAGTATAAGCACTGGTACACAACAGTTATGAGCCATTAAATTGAAAATACCAGATCACTGTTTAACATATACCTGAAAATCCATTTCTTCATGCAGATAAGCCAAACCCCGGGCAGCATCTTGAGCAATTTTCAATCTAGCCATCCATGGGAGGGGTAATGAAACCCGAGCCAACAAATGGTCCTCCAAGCTTTTGTTTCGCATAAGCTCATAGACCAAAAGCCGCTGAATCCCTCTCTCATCATCCTCAGCACAATATCCCACCAACCTTACAAGATTTGGGTGTTTCACCACCCCCAAGAAACTAACTTCATTAATCCATTCCTTATGCCCCTGAATGCTAGAATGCAAAACACAAAAACCCCATAAGAAAACCTCAGATCATACAATTAGTCTTCATGGTTTCATTATATGTTAAAAAAAAAAAAAAAACCAAATTTTTAACAAAATTACTCCTCAATTACACATTTTTA